CCACAGGGAGGTGGGAGAGAAAGGGGAACCATGTTTGTCTGGCCCATAGAAAAGGCGATCAGAATGAGGTTAGCAAGATCCTTGTGCAGTTTCAGGATAACTTTGGGAATCAGAGGTAAAGATGGGAAAACGTAAAGTAGTGGTCCTGTCCATGAGACTAGTGCTGCATGAGAACAAGAGGTGACATTTGCGGTTCCTGTGCTTGGAGAACAGGCCTATCATTGGATGCTCCAACATACAGAATATATAGGTTGTGACGTCTGAATCGTCCACCACTGAACTGAAGATCGTATGTTGGGAGGAACACGGAATACGTGGTGGGAACATATACAGTATAGGGATGTGAACGACTATTGACTATCCGATAAGCAACAGCCAGCTAAAAAGCTGGTCCCCCGCCCCGTTCCCCGCCCCCAACTCCAGCTCTGTGGGAGGGGGACAAGAGCTCAGAAGCGGTGTTCCAACTTTGAAATGTACAAGAGTCCCTGCTGGGGCTCTTGTACATTTCAAAGGCGGAACACTGCACTAATCCTTATTGACTAATCAGAGTTGATGGAAATCCCATTGACTATTCAATTAGCTAATTTATCAAAATTTAACATCCCTAATGCAGTAGTGAGCCATATTTGAAGACCGGGCATATGTAGCCTGGTGTGTCTGACTAGGTAAGTGGTTGCTGCCATGTATCCAAGGACCCGTAGACAGGTGAAGGCAGAAGTCTGAGGGCTGATGATCACTACACTGAGGTCTGCTAGAGTGGCAAAGCAATGTCTTGGTGTGAAGGCATGGGCTTTGGAGTACACGAGGGTGCAGATAAATTCTAGCCTCTGAGTGGGTTTGAGGATGGACAGTCTCATTGATAAAAAGTCTGAGGCTTTGAAAAAGGATTCTGGTCTTGTGGATCATCCAGGTCATCTCTACTTGCATAGATTCCTTTATGAGACAGTTCTCTAGTTAAAGAAATATTATAACCCCTTTGCCATTGCAGAAGTGCTGCAGCAACTGCTAGTTTTGGAGAAAACCCTGGGGACTGTGGAAAGCCCAAAGGAGAGAACTCTGCATTGAGAGTGATTGTGAGCTGCAGTGAAGAAATGTCTGTGGGCAGAGCGTATGGTTACGTGAAAGTAAGCATCTTGGAGGTCAAGGGCTGTGAATGAGTCCCCCTGATCTAGCACTGGGATAATAGTTGCTAAAGTCACCATTTTGAACTTTTTGTTTTTGGACAACCTTGTTCAATCCCTGCAGGTCTAAGATCGGTCTCCAACCCCCACTCTTTTTCTTGGTGAGGAAATAATTGGAATAAAAGCCCTTGCCCCGTAATGTTGAAGGAAAAACAAACCAAAAGGGTCTATTTGTCACTATTGTTACTGTTTTACTGTTAAAATTGTTTTCTTGTTTAAGTGTGTAAATGTTTTTTGTAGTATACAATATTTGTAATAGTAATACTCAGTTGCTTTTATAAAAACAGATTTAGTAGAAAATATTTTAATTAAACTACGTAATTCTTGCTATGTAACTTTTATTTAAGTAAAAAATAAAAAATGAGTGTAAGTTGAAAGACCTTCATTGAACCAAATGTTCTTAAAAAAAGCCAAAAGCAAACATTAAGGCGCCAAAAAATTGCTGTGTACCCCTATTAAAATGTGAATAAAGGGAAATTAACAACGCTAAAAAAGTAATGCAAGTACCTATCCATAAAAACTTATACAAGCACTTGTCAAACGGCAATTAATTACAGCATAGTGGTGCAAAACTTAATCTCAATAAAAAAAAATATAAAAAGGGGCTGCTTTGCCATAATTTTGGGGTTCCAACTTGCCAAAACCCTAAAGCATTGATTGGTTCAAACCAATAAAGCCCCACTCCTCCCCTGCATTCAGCCTAACTGGCCACTAGGGTAATGCAAGCAACAAACTGGTAACTATAACATCAACAAAAAGTGTGAGAGAATAAATGCATATGATGTTTACTCTGTAAGCTCAATAAACATGGCAAATTGCATTTTCCCTAAAAGAAGCATACAGGAATTTTTTAAGCATAACATATCCTCCTTTCTAATAAAATACATTTGGGACCTGTAAAAGAGCCCCACCCCATTTTTATCATTGACCTAATACCCGCTGCATTCAGATGTGGTAATCACTTTATTGCAGCTGGTGTGTGTGTGTGTGTTTATGTATAGCGAAGTATACAAGTAAGTTTTGCTTTTTGAGAAAAGAGAAAATAATAAAAACAGGGCCCAAGTCACCATAATTGTATTCAGTAAGTGGGATACACTATAAAAATGTATGAAAAGAACTGAACCATTATTAAAATTCCTGTTACATTAGTCCTTGTTAGTAAACACTTTTGTATTTTTACATGCAAAATATTTCCAATGAAAAAGAAAAGTTGAATGAAGCCAGCTTAGTTTATCAGTAGTTTGTGAATTAATGGAAAAATAAAATGAGTTTTGAAAAATTAAAAGGTTAAATATTAGGAAATAGCCATTTTAAATGTAAACTTGAAAACAGAAAAAATGAAAACTGGCTTTGTCTAATATTTTAACTAACAAAAAGATCAGAAAGTTGGAGTTAATGTAAGAAACAAGAGACGGTAAAAATTATTTATGTACAACAGATATTCAGTCACAACACAAGAATTAGTCAACCATATACCTCATTTGAAATTGGAAGTACTCAATCATGCAGCAGCAGAGATGAGGCTAATAAAGGAAAGCCAATAGTATACCCTATTTTTCTTCTACATAGTGAAGTTTCAAAACTGTATTTAGTTTAGTTGTAAACTTGAAAATACCATGTTTTGTTCTGAGTTATGAACATTTCAGAGTTATGAACAACCTCCATTTCCAAGCTGTCTATATATCTGAGATTCTACTGTATAGCATTTTCTCATATTTTAGATCTCTCTCATGAGGTAATCATGAAATGGCTGCTCTTTAAACCTTTCCATTTTTGCCTTATGCATGAAGTGACATCAGTACTTGCAATACAACACTACATTTTTGTGATGAATACTGCGAATTCTATAGTTGCATTACTTGTTTCTCGTAGGGCACATCTACACTGCACGCTTATTTCAGAATAAGCTATTTGGAAATTTGTATTTCAAAATAGCTTCTTTTGAAATAGCATGTCTACACAGCAAATGCCCATTGAAAAAGTGCTGAGCTATTTCGAAATAGAGCATCCACGCTTATTGGATGCTGAATCGCATTTAAGAGCACCCAGAAGCACTTCAGGCAGGGCATCAGGATGGCACTCACTTCCTGGCGCTTGAGCTTAAAGGGACCCCCTGTATAGACATGTCTCAGGCTCTCCTCCTTTGCATACCTCACTGAGGGAAAGCAAAGCCTTTCTTTCACTTGCTGTGGTTACCCTTGCAGACACCTCACCACTGTAGAAGCAGGTTGACATTGCATCTGGAAGCTCACCATGCTGGACAGCTACCAATGTCGGGAATCAATTTAGTGTTGGGAGATCAACCGTTGGGGCCATGGTCATGCAGATACGGTGCTCTCATGCTATTGTCCCAGGAAGGGGATGAACTGAACAGCTGGAATGGGGTTCCCTAGATAAGGGAGGAGGCTGGTGGTGGGGGTGGTAGTACTGAGAGATTTTTCAGTCCCACCTTCACAAAGCCCTGACAGGGGATGTAGCAAGACCCTGGTAACTCTGTGATTCTCTGTCTGTCTCCTACTATAGGTGATGAGGGCCATCAAAACTATTCTGCTGTGCACTCATTAACTTGGGCGACATGGACCCCGTCATTGCTGACTTTGCCGCCATGGGTTTCCCCAACTGCGGTGGGGAAGGGGGCTACTGATGACACCCATATCCCCATCTGGGCTCCTGGTCACCATGCATCCAAACATATCAACTGCAAACATATCACCATACATCCAAACATATCAACTGCAAACATATCACCATACATCCAAACATATCAACTGCATACCAGCACCTTTTTCTCTGACTGCACCATCAGCGCTGGGGATATGGACATGCCGGTGTGTATTGTAGGGGACCCAGCCTACCCTCTGCTCTCCTGGCTCATGAAGCCCTACACCAGATACCTTGACCCCACCGAGGAACACTTTCACACCAGGATCAGCAAGGCCCGCATTGTGGTGGAGGGCACCTTTAGGCATCTCAAGGGGAGGTTCCATTGCCTCCTTACCTGGCTGGACCTCGGCGAGCAGGTGGTGGAGGTGAGTTGTATCCTTCACAATATTTGTGAAAACAAGGGGGAAATGTTCCTACCAGGGTGGAGGGCAGAAGCTGACCAAACTGGCAAGGTCTATAAGCAGCTGGGCACAGCTGCTATCCAGCAGGCCCATCAAGGAGCTGTGTGTATTCGGGAAGCCCTGAGGGGGAGTTTCTTACAAGGACCCCAATGACACTCTCCCCTGGGCCTCCCCACAAGGGGCCTGTGTACTGCCCCTCTTTGCCTTTACTCCCACAAACTTCCCTTCCCCTGCCCACCCTTTCCCCCCTCCTCCTCCTCTGCACAGACAATATAAACCACACTTTTTGTTAGGAAATAGACTGTTTTTATTACTGGGGTAAATGTAACTGGGGAGGGACTGAGGTAAGAATCTAGGAGGGGGTAGAAGGGAGGTGGGAGGGGGAAGAGAGGCTCAGGGCTGGGATTAGGAGTGGCACCTAATCAGGTGGTGCCACCACCTCATGTGTGGGCCCTTGATGGACATGGAGAAGCCAGGGGAAGAAGCTGGAAGGGCCAGAGCTGACACAGGAGCAGCCACCAGGTGGTTAATGACCATGTGAAAGGCTGTGCAGATGAACCAGCCCTGCTGCTGCAGCTCCCGCCAGATGTTACAACACAGGTGGAGATCCTCCTCCAGTCTCTGGTCCTGCTGGTCCATGGAGCACTGCTGGGCTCATAGGGCAGCGATATGTTCCCTCTGGAAGTCCTTGGGGGTTCTCTGGTGCTGGTGGCTCACGTGGGATCAGGACGACAGCACAGGAGGTGACGACCATCTCCTCTTGCAGCTGGTCCAGCTGTGGAAAATAAGGAGCAGGGCAGTCCTCCTGGGAGACACCATACATGAAGCCTCATCTTGGAGCCAAAAATCAAAAGGCCTCGGGTCAGACGAAGGCAAAGTGCTTTGAGCAAGGCCACCTGAGGCCTAGACAGTTGGCCTTTTCTGGCAGAGGCACAGATGTCGAAGGAGGAATTCTCACTACCCCCATGTCCTGGGTATGAGCAGGCATGGGAAGATGCCAACTAGATTGGAAGTCTGCAGGTGGGAGGGGTTCATGGGGCAGCTGGACTTCCCTCTGTGCAGTGCACATGCTGGGTCCAACAGTGGTGGCGTCCCATGGATAGAGGAGTTGTATCCCTGGCCACTGGAGGAGGGGGTGGCAGGGTGTGTGAGTGGCAGATGCACCTGCACCTCGCCATGCTGTCCCTGGGAGTGGATGCTACCCTAAGAATGAGAGAATGCCTATGTGCGGCACTCCTGAGTTCGTGTGTGTGTGTCTGCATGTCCCCAGCTTCCTTCTACTGGTGGCAAGGGGGTAAGGGAGGCCTCACCAGACACCCTGTGAGTCAGAGCACAAGGGTCCTCTGTTGCAGCTTCCTGGGATTGTATGCCTCAGATTGGTGCGTCACATGCACCCATGTGCGCAGGATGCTGTGTGATCCCCAAGCCCAGAAGGCCGACTGAGTAGAGCACAGCTGTCCGTTGCCACCAGCCTCCTCCACCTGTGTGTTTCTGGGGATAGTAAGGGCACTCACCTGAGGGGCCTTCCCCGGCTTAGGATGATGCCTGGGAGACATTCTTGGAGGGGGATATTGGCTCCAGGGCAAGCGACTCCTGGCTAGCAGGCATCAAGCTGGTGCTGCCTTCGTTCGGCTCCTCCTCCTCCTCCTCCTCCTCACTGGCTCTGCCTCCCAGGAGGGCAATGGCAGGTGTTCTTCCGTCCTGAGTCCACAACAAGGTGTGTGTGGGGGGGAAGGAACTGATTGTGGTGGAGCTGTATGTAATAAGGGAAGGCCTGTGGTGCCACCTCAGAGAGAGCTGTGCTCCCTGGCCTTGATAAAGGCCAGCCTAAGTTCTTTAATTTTCATGCGCACCTGCTCCTGGGTGTGCATGTGGCCCTTAGTGGCCATCTGGCCATAGGCGTCCACATTCCTGTTTCTGGTGTGGAGATCCTGGATGTCTGCCTCCTATCTCCAGACCTCAATGATGTCCAGGATCTGTGCACCAGAACAGGAAGGCACATGCCTCTTCCTTCCCCCCGCTAGGGGCCTAGCTGTTCTGGATGGCTCGGTGGGAGCTATCAGGTTGCACAGGGTGGCAGAAAGAGCTGGTCTTATAGCCACTGTGTGGCTTAGGGCTGTCAGGGCCTGCTGTGTGCCACACACTATTTTTCCTGCGGCCGGAGCTTTAAGGGTTGCAGAGGAAGGGAAGCTATAGAGTTCTGATGAGTGTAGACACAGTGGCCATCAAGGCACCTGTGAGATTTTCTGGAAGCCTCTTATTTTGAAATAATTCCATCTGTCCTGTCTATACATGCTCAATTCAGAAATAGCTATTTCGGAATAGGTGTTATTCTTCATAGAATAAGGGTTACAAAAACTGGAATAAGATGCCTGTTATTTCAAAATTATTTCAAAATAACCGGCTTGCTGTGGAGACATTTGCAAAGTTATTTCAGAATATCATCCATTATTCTGGAACAACTCTGCTGTGTAGACATGTCTTTACAGAACTGCAAGCGCTTAAGGAGCAATGCTGTAATGTATAGTAGGGTATACATGTGTTCTATTCATTACTCTCCTGTGGTATCTTGCAGATATATTAGAAGGGCCCTATCAAATTCACAGTCCATTTTAGTCAATTTCATAGGCCTAGAATTTTAAAATTCATAAATGTATGATTTCAGCTACTTAAAATTGAAATTTCATGGTGTTGTAAGAGTAGGAATCCTGACCCAAAAAGAAGGTTTTGGGGGAGGGGGAGGTCACAAGATTATTTTGTGGGAGGGTTGCAGTACTGCCACACTTACTTCTGTGCCACTGCTGGCAGTGATGCTGCTTTCAGAGCAGGGCCACTGTAGAGCAGCAGCTGCAGGCTGGGAGCCCAGCTCTGAAGGTAGAACTGCCCTTAGCCCCAGAAGTAAGGATGACATGGTATGGAATTGCCAACCTTACTGTGCTACTGCCTGTAGAACTGGGCCCTCTGTCAGTATCCACCACTCTCCCATCTGCCCAGCTCTTGGATTTTAATTCATTCAAAGCCTTTGGATTTTAATTCATTTGATGGTTTCACCTCACAGCTGTGGCACATAAAGTTTTACTTAGAGATGGCGTATTTGGTGACAACCTCTGTGCCTTCGGATACAGCGTGCTTGGCTAACTTTCCAGGCAACAGTAGAGACAAGGCACCTGGAGCTCTAGGGAATTGATAGTGGACCTCTTGTTATATAAAGCCAAGCATAACACCTCCACAGCAATGTGCCTGAAGAGATCTCTCATGAAGGACTTCATAATACTCATGGACTTGGAAGAAATGCCTGTATCTAGATGCATTTGCTTCAGTACCTTGTAGAAATAAATTGAGTAAGACTCCTCGTGGCTCTTCTTGCATTTCTTATCCACCTTCCTTGCCCCATCCATGATCAGCTTTTTCCCACCCTTCTCCAGCACACGTGCAGACATGATAACTAACTTCCTTCTCTGCTGTGACTATGTAGAAGGATGATAGTGCTGCAATCCCCCTAAACTAACTTTTGACACTCCCCCCACCATGCAACTCTCTATGGGTCAGGGCCCCTATTCGCAAAATGCTAGTATGTCCTATTAAATCTGTATCACATAATGGTAGAAGGGAAAACAGAAATAAAGAGACAATGGATTTCATTAAGGCAGATTTTAGTAAACTCAGAGAGCTGGTAGGTAAGGTCCCATGGGAAGCAAGACTAAGAGGTAAAACAGCTGAAGAGAGTTGGCAGTTTTTTAAAGAGACATTATTAAGGGCTCAAAAATAAATTATTCTGCTGCATAGTAAAGATAGAAAGTATGGCAAAAGACCACCTTGGCTTAACCAGGAGATCTTGCATGATCTAAAAATAAAAAAGGAGTCACGTTAAAAGTGGAAACTAGGTCAAATTACAAAGGATGTATATAAGCAAACAATACTGGTATGCAGGGGCAAGACCAGAAAGGCAAAGGCACAAAATGAGCTCAATCTAGCTAGAGACAGAAAGGGTAACAAGAAGACATTCCACAAATATATTAGAAGCAAAAGGAAGACCAATGACGGGGTAGGCCCATTGCTCAGTGAAGAGGGAGAAACAATAATTGGACATTTGAAAATGGCAGACGTGCTTAATGACTTCTTTGTTTTGGTCTTCACCAAGAAGTTTGATGATGAAGGAATGCCTAACATAGGGTACATCTAAACTACATCCCTTTTTCGAAAGAGGGATGTAAATTAGTCATATTGTAATTGCAAATGAAGCTGGGCTTTGAATTTCCTGTGCTTCATTTGCATAATTGCGTCACAGAGTTTTTTCGAAAAAAGCTATTTTGAAAGTGAAACCGCTATCTAGATGCAGTTCTTTCGAAAATAAAAGCCTTTTTCGAAAGCTCTTGTAAACCTCATTTTTTTAGTACAGGTTCTTTCGAAAAAGGCTTTTCTTTTTGAAAGAACGCCGTGATGCGATTATGCAATTGAAATGTGTGGGAAATTCAAATCCCGGCTTCATTTGCAATTTTGATATGTCTAATTTACATCCCTCTTTCAAAAGAGCGATGTAGTCTAGACATAGCCATAGTGAATGATAGTGGAAATGGGGTAAGTTTAGAAGATAAAATAAAAAAAGAACACTTTAAAAATTTCTTAGAAAAGTTAGATGTCTGCAAGTTATCAGTACCTGATGTAATGCATCCTAGAATACTTAAGAAGATGATAGAGGAGGTGTCTGAGCCTATAGTTACCATCTCTGAAAAATTATATAAGTCGGGAGAGATTCCAGAAGACTGGAAAATGGCAAATACAGTACCCATCTATTAAAAGGAAAATAAGAACAACCCAGGAAATCACAGACCAGTCTAACTTCTGTGCCAGGAAAGATAATGGAATAAGTAATTAAGGAATTCATCTCCAAACATCTGGAAGATAATAAGGTGATAAGTAACAGCCAGCATGGATTTGTAAAGAACAAATCATGTTAAACCAATTTGATAACTTTCTTTGATAGAATAACAAGTCTTGTAGATAAGGGAGAAGTGGAAGATGTGGTATACCTAGACCAGTGGTCCCCAACCTTTTCGTGGCCAATAGCACATTCATGTTTTCAGAAGAGTGTGGCGGGCGCCAACAATTTTTCAAGGCTTATTTTGTATTTGTACATTAAATAATACAAAAAACATAATATTTAATATATGAATCCATAAGATAAAAAAGGTAATTTTACATGTAAAAGGTATTAATTAAATTATTCGGCAATTACTCTTTCACCTTACCATGTGAATTTGCTATTTTCATATTAAATGTGAATTTATGTAAATTTGATAGAAACAATTTAGTTGGATATTTTTTATGTCAATTATACTGTAATTCATTTTTAAACAAAATTCTGCATTAGTAAAAGGGGGGATGTCCAAATGTTGTTCAGCAAAAAAAGCACCTTCCCCCCCAAAAAAAATCATGGCACCTTTAAATCTCACACTCCCCATCCCCACCATGTCTCTTCCCCTTGCTCCATTAGCTCCCCTGCTGGTGCCTGCTGCCCCCCAACCTCTCACCCTCTTCTGCTGTCCTGACTCCTGCCCTTCTCACTGCCCTCAGCCCTCCTGAGACCTGCCCCCCTCCACCAGCCCTTCTCTCCCCCCTGTGCCCACTCCTCCAGTACCCCACTCTGATCATGTGAGCTACCCCCTCTCCTAACACTTCCCCTTGCTCCATTAGCTCCCCTGCTGGTGCCTGCTGCCCCCCAACCTCTCACCCTCTTCTGCTGTCCTGACTCCTGCCCTTCTCACTGCCCTCAGCCCTCCTGAGACCTGCCCCCCTCCACCAGCCCTTCTCTCCCCCCTGTGCCCACTCCTCCAGTACCCCACTCTGATCATGTGAGCTACCCCCTCTCCTAACACCTCCCTCTACACACCTGCCCTGCCTCTCTCCTCTGGTGCTGGTCCTCCCTTGCAGGTGTCTGCCCTTCTGCTTCACCCCAGAATCCTCTGGCACCTGCACCTTCCCTTAGCCCCGCACGCTTCTGGTGCCTCCCCCTTCCCTCACTGCCCCTGTGCCCTTTGTCCTCTTTTTCCCCTGATGCCCACACCCTCAATACCCTCTTCCCCCATTCCCCTTATGCCCCTGTGCCCTCACACATGCCTTGCTCCATCCCCACCTTTCTCATGCCCACCCCTACTTTCAAGCCTCCCAGCATCTCCCCGCTCCTCTCCCAGCATTACCCTGTCCCTCCTCCCACTGACATCTCCCCTCCTGCCCTTTTCCTCATTGTCTCCAGTTGGCCCCCTGGCATTTGTATCTCCTTTACCCTGTCCCTTGGTGCCTTCCCCTTTCTTCTCCTGACCTGCCCCCCTCCCATCAGCACAAGCCCCTTTCTCTCCCACCTTTTCCACCTATTCTTCCCCTCCCCTCCCTTCTGCCTTCCAGTTTGCAGGGCTAGAGTCTGCTGCGATTGGGCCCCAGAAGTCCCTGCAGCCCGAGCTCTAGACCACATGCCGGAACTGGAGCTGGGCCGCTCGGTGTTCATAGCCCCGGCCCCTTACAACACGACCGCCACGCCAGGTGCGCTCACCGCTGTCCTGCCTCTAGCGAGGCTCTGCTCGCCCATACCCCACTCGGACTATTCTTCCCCTCCCCTCCCTTCTGCCTTCCAGTTTGCAGGGCTAGAGTCTGCTGCGATTGGGCCCCAGAAGTCCCTGCAGCCCGAGCTCTAGACCACATGCCGGAACTGGAGCTGGGCCGCTCGGTGTTCATAGCCCCGGCCCCTTACAACACGACCGCCACGCCAGGTGCGCTCACCGCTGTCCTGCCTCTAGCGAGGCTCTGCTCGCCCATACCCCACTCGGAACATCTCCTTCCTCCTCCTTCCCCGATCCTCAGCTGGCTGTTTTAAAAAATGGCGCTGCAATGCCACACCAACGTGGCACCACCCCCTCCGGTGCACCGCATGTGACTTCACCCCCGGAGCAGCCCTGGTTCCACCCAGGTTGATGGCACATGCTCGAGCCTCTCGCAGCCATGCCTGCTTTCCTTTCCCCTGGCCTGGTACCGTCCCCGGTCGGGGTCAGCTTGCCGGCCTCCTCATCGAAGTCCCTAGGCCCGGTGGGGTCTTCTGGTGGGGCCGTAAGTGCCAGCAGCACCTCAACCAGCTCTGGTGCAGGAGTGCGGAGCCCGGTGGCTCTGTCCCACCGGGCCAGTCTGCCCCTGCATTAGGATGTGCCTAATGCAGACTAGGCGGGCGCACATAAATGCCCCGGCGGACTTAGACTTTAGTAAGGCATTTGATACGGTCTCACATGACCTTCTTATCAATAAACTAGGCAAATACAACTTAGATGAGGCTACCATAAAGTGGGTGCATAATTGGCTGGATAACCACTCTCAGAGAGTAGTTATTAATGGTTCACAGACATGCTGGAAGGGCATAACAAGTGGGGTTTCTCAAGGGTCTTTTTTGGAACTGGTTCTGTTGAATATCTTCATCAACGATTTAGATGATGGTATAGAGAGAGTATGCTTATTAAGTTTGCAGATGATACCAAGCTGGGAGGGGTCGCAATTGATCTGGAATATAGGGTCATAATTCAAAAAGATCTGGACAAACTGGATAAATGATCTAAGGTAAATAGGATGAAGTTTAATAAGGACAAATGTAAAGTATTCTACTTCGGAAGGAACAATAAGTGTCACACATACAGAATGGCAAGTGACTATCTAGGAAGTAGTACTGCAGAAAGGGATATAGGGATCATAGTGGACCAAAAGCTAAATATGAGTCAACAGTGTAACACTGTTGCAAAAAAAGCAAACATGATTCTGGGATGCAACAACAGGAGTGTTGTGAGCAAGACATGAGAAGTCATTCTTCCACACTACTCTGTGCTGATTAGGCCTCAATTAGAGTATTGTGTTCAGTTCTGGGCACCACATTTCAAGAAAGATGTGGAGAAATTGGAGAAGGTCCAGAGAAGAGCAACAAAAATGATAAAAAGGTCTAGAAAACATAAGCTATGAGGAAAAGCTGAAGGAATTGGGCTTGTTTAGTTCAGAAAAGAGAAAACTGAGAGGGGAAACATGATAGTGGTTTTCAGGTATCTGAAAGGGTGTCAGAAGGAAGAGGGAGAAAAAATGTTCTCTTTGGCCTCTGATGATAGGACAAGAAGAAATGGGCTTAAAGTGCAGCAAGGGAGGTTTACGTTGGACATTAGGAAAAACTTCCTAACTGTCAGGGTGGTTAAACACTGAGGCTATGTCTGCACTGCAGGATTTTCGCACAAGAAGTTTTTTGCGGAAGAGTTCTTCCGCAAAAACTTCTTGCACAAAAGCGTGTCCACACCTCAAAGCGCATCGCTTTTGCGCACGCAAGAGAGCATCCACACTGCATGGACGCTCTTGCGCAAGAAAGCTCTGATGGCCATTCGCAGAATGGCCATCAGAGCACCTGTGCTTTTTTTGGATAGGCTCTTTTTGCGCAAGAAACTTCTGCGAAGCATCCATACATGCCTTTTTGCGGAAGAGCTGTAGCGCAAAAAGGAGTTATGCCTCATAGGAGGAGGTATACCTACACCGCAAAAACCCACTATTCTGTCGATTGACTGTAGATTTTCTTGCGCAAAAATGCACTTGAGTTGTGGATGCTCCATGGGTTTTTGTGCAAAAACCTTGTAGTGTAGACATAGCTTGGAATAAACTGTCTAGGGAGGTTGTGGAATCTCCATCACTGGAGATATTTAAGAGCAGGTTAGATAAACATCTATCGGGGTGGTTTAGACAGTGCTTGGTCCTGCTGTGAGGGCAGGGGACTGGACTTGATGATCTCTTGAGGTTGCTTCCAGTTCTAGTATTCTATGATTCTATGATAAGGTAAAAAAAATACAAAATACAGGCATGGGGAAGTGGGGAGATCAGATTTCATGGTCAGGTACACATTTTCCATGGGTGTGAATCTGGTAGGGCCCTATATATTAGGCAGTAATTTTTGGGTTTTTAGGGTCACTCAACAAACTATACACCACAAAGTAGTTCTATCCTTTTTCTGGAACAGCTGCTTCAGACAGCTACTTTTTATAGTGTTTTGCTTCTTCAACTGCTGTTTTTATTTTTAACTTTGAAATCAACAGGCCACTATACAGACAAAGGGGGTCTGTGCTAGTGGATTCCAATGCTAGACTTTGCCTTCTAATTTCAGGAACTGAAAGAGCCTATGAAGAGGATATCTAGATTACTAATTTTAAAAACAATAAATGTTTAAATCCTAATAATTTCTGGCAGATTAGCTATATCTGACTGAACCAAAAATTGGATTAAAAATGTACCTTCTAATTTTCGGATGCGTGAAGCCCTAATGTCAAGAAGATGGACATACTGTTCCAGTTTTAACTCATAATCTTGCTGTAAACCCTCCATCTTCTGCGTCACTGCTTCAACTTCAGTCTGAAAGAATATAAATAAAAATAATTTAATATGATAATCTATTATATGTGGGGGGGGAAGTGTCATTTCCTTTTTTGGCCTTGTTTAACAATGTAATATTGTTTACAGAAACATTCTAAAGTATAAGACTTACCTAGTGTTGCTTGGGTCCTTCACAGCAGGAGACTGGGAGTATGGAAGGTACAAGTGTTTGGGCTGGAGCTTGGGGATGTGGGGGGCTCAGGGCAGAAGTCTGGGGATATGGGGCATGTAGAAGCAAGGTTGAGGTGAGGAGGAGCTCAGGACAAAGGGCTGGGGATGGGTACAGGAGTCAGCACAAGGGGTAGAGTGCTCAGGGCAGGAGTTTGGGGCACCCACCAGCTTCTTCCCAAGGAGGACTGGACTGGCTCCAAGTAGGGGTGTGCCACCCAAGGCTGGCTTCTTCCCAGGTCCGGCCCTGAGGATGCGGTGGCATCCCACTGGCGCTGCTCCCTGGGGGCAGCGGGGGCTGCTTCTCACTGGAGAGGCCGGGTGGAGGGGGCTGTGCTATTGATCAGCAGCTGATTCCCAGGCCTGGGGTGCTTGCAGGACCCTGTGGTCATTCAGGAGTATAACTGTCCCCCATGTTTGCTGTCGTACTTCATGAACTGTCCCTGCTATAACATCCTCTCTTTCAGTTTGATGAAAAACAATTGCATTCCATGCACATGCCATGGTCCTGACACAATCAAATCCTGACCTTGCTGCTTTAATTTATCATAAGAGGAAACAGCACACCAAATTTGGTCATCCTAGCTCTTACTGTTTAGGAGTTCTTGAACAAAGGGACACACAGAGAGATGGACACACAATCAGACAGACAGATTCACAATCACTTGCAAATATATAGGGGTACGTCTACACTACAGCGCTAATTCGAACTAACGTCCGTTAGTTCGAACTAACGGGCGTTAGTTCGAACTAACGGGCGTTAGTTCGAACTAACGGGCGTTAGTTCGAACTAACGGGCGTTAGTTCGAACTAACGGGCGTTAGTTCGAACTAACGGGCGTTAGTTCGAACTAACGGGCGTTAGTTCGAACTAACGGGCGTTAGTTCGAACTAACGGGCGTTAGTTCGAACTAACGGGCGTTAGTTCGAACTAACGGGCGTTAGTTCGAACTAACGGGCGTTAGTTCGAACTAACGGGCGTTAGTTCGAACTAACGGGCGTTAGTTCGAACTAACGGGCGTTAGTTCGAACTAACGGGCGTTAGTTCGAACTAACGGGCGTTAGTTCGAACTAACGGGCGTTAGTTCGAACTAACGGGCGTTAGTTCGAACTAACGGGCGTTAGTTCGAACTAACGGGCGTTAGTTCGAACTAACGGGCGTTAGTTCGAACTAACGGGCGTTAGTTCGAACTAACGGGCGTTAGTTCGAACTAACGGGCGTTAGTTCGAACTAACGGGCGTTAGTTCGAACTAACGGGCGTTAGTTCGAACTAACGGGCGTTAGTTCGAACTAACGGGCGTTAGTTCGAACTAACGGGCGTTAGTTCGAACTAACGGGCGTTAGTTCGAACTAACGGGCGTTAGTTCGAACTAACGGGCGTTAGTTCGAACTAACGGGCGTTAGTTCGAACTAACGGGCGTTAGTTCGAACTAACGGGCGTTAGTTCGAACTAACGGGCGTTAGTTCGAACTAACGGGCGTTAGTTCGAACTAACGGGCGTTAGTTCGAACTAACGGGCGTTAGTTCGAACTAACGGGCGTTAGTTCGAACTAACGGGCGTTAGTTCGAACTAACGGGCGTTAGTTCGAACTAACGGGCGTTAGTTCGAACTAACGGGCGTTAGTTCGAACTAACGGGCGTTAGTTCGAACTAACGGGCGTTAGTTCGAACTAACGGGCGTTAGTTCGAACTAACGGGCGTTAGTTCGAACTAACGGGCGTTAGTTCGAACTAACGGGCGTTAGTTCGAACTAACGGGCGTTAGTTCGAACTAACGGGCGTTAGTTCGAACTAACGGGCGTTAGTTCGAACTAACGGGCGTTAGTTCGAACTAACGGGCGTTAGTTCGAACTAACGGGCGTTAGTTCGAACTAACGGGCGTTAGTTCGAACTAACGGGCGTTAGTTCGAACTAACGGGCGTTAGTTCGAACTAACGGGCGTTAGTTCGAACTAACGGGCGTTAGTTCGAACTAACGGGCGTTAGTTCGAACTAACGGGCGTTAGTTCGAACTAACGGGCGTTAGTTCGAACTAACGGGCGTTAGTTCGAACTAACGGGCGTTAGTTCGAACTAACGGGCGTTAGTTCGAACTAACGGGCGTTAGTTCGAACTAACGGGCGTTAGTTCGAACTAACGGGCGTTAGTTCGAACTAACGGGCGTTAGTTCGAACTAACGGGCGTTAGTTCGAACTAACGGGCGTTAGTTCGAACTAACGGGCGTTAGTTCGAACTAACGGGCGTTAGTTCGAACTAACGGGCGTTAGTTCGAACTAACGGGCGTTAGTTCGAACTAACGGGCGTTAGTTCGAACTAACGGGCGTTAGTTCGAACTAACGGGCGTTAGTTCGAACTAACGGGCGTTAGTTCGAACTAACGGGCGTTAGTTCGAACTAACGGGCGTTAGTTCGAACTAACGGGCGTTAGTTCGAACTAACGGGCGTTAGTTCGAACTAACGGGCGTTAGTTCGAACTAACGGGCGTTAGTTCGAACTAACGGGCGTTAGTTCGAACTAACGGGCGTTAGTTCGAACTAACGGGCGTTAGTTCGAACTAACTCTGAAGTGTAGACATACCCTAGTAGATTACATACAATGACATATTTCAATTGATGAATATAAATTAATTTTGGGATAAGTAGGATAGCTCTGGAGACTAATAATGGACCCAACACAGATCCAAAAGAAAAAAAATAACAGAATTCCACTTGTTATTACCTACAGTCCACAGCTTAAACCCCTCCAACCCATTATCCACTATATACAACCTATCTTGGAAAATGATCCCTCACTCTCAGAGGCCTTGGGGAAAAAGGCCTGTTCTCGCTTACAGACAACCCCCCCACCTGAAACAAATTCTCTCCGGTAACCATGCTACACAGCTACATCATAAACATCCAGGAACCAAGCCCTGCAATCAGCCCCGATGCCAACTCTGCCCACATATCTATACAAGCAAATTCATTATTGGAGACAACCACATAAGCCACCAAATCAGAGGTTCATTCAACTGCACATCCAGGAATGTAATCTTATGCGACCAAATGCCAGCAATACCCTACTGCAGTATATATTGGACAAACTGGACAGTCCCTAAAGGAAAGAATTAATGGACACAAATCAGATATCCACAAAGGGAACATACAAAAACCTGTTGGGGAACACTTCAATCTACCTGGGCATTCATTAACAGATCTTTAAGTGGCTGTTTTGTTACAGACCAATTCCACAAGCCAAATACACAGGGAAGGACTGGAACTACAATTCATTCACAAGTTTGATACTCATGCTAGTGGATTAAACAAAGATACCGATGGTTGGGACATTATCAACCTACCAAACAATGAAGGTGCAAATGATTCTTTGTCTGTATTGTATCTGGTGTTAGTACTCTTCTTCTCTATTGCCTACTAATGGTTCTTATCTGCCTCTTGATTACCTAGTCTTTAGGTGCTTATAGATTATTTATTTTTCCTGTTAAATTACAACTTGGCTTTCTCCTTGATATTTTTATACCCACTACCTCTTCTTGTCCCCTCCCCCCTGTTCCATTTTACCCCTTCTCCCCCCACCTCTATTTATTTTAGTTCTGGACATCCAACACTCTGGTCACCTGAAGAAGTGGGCTGTGCCCACAAAAGCTCATGATACCACCTACATGTTTTGTTAGTCTTTAAAGTGCTACCAGACTATTTGTTGTTTTTTAAGTTTATCCTGTACAGACCAACTGGGCTACCCCCCGAAGCAACGCAGTATATGTTAGGTGAATTAATAGCAAGATTTTTTTTTAAGAAAATCATTATTATTCCAAGCATCTGCACTAATAATCATCATCTCTCTTCATACTTAGGAGAGCAGAGACTGTGATACTGTATTGACACTGGACTAGCAAATACTGACTTTGAAAGTGCACTCATTCGAAGGCTTCTAGATCATTTTTACTCAGCTCAGATTGTTTGAGGCAGAGTTGTTACATCTTTTCTATAAATTAGGTCACAGAGTATTCACCATTTCTTTGATACATGCCATGGAGTTATATGATGGCTAATAAAAAAATGCATTTAAATTCAAGATCTGAATCCGTGTTTTGAGACTGTGAAGCGAGCTATTCTAACTCCAACAGAAATAAATGCAGGCCTTGTCTACGCCATGGGGCAATGCACCTTATGGGGGTTGATTTCAAAAGTGTAAATGTGTTGCATATTAAATAGTGTAAATCCTGATGGTGGGCTCTATAGGTTCCCTAATGTGCTTTAACATTGCTCTATGTAGATAAGCCTCATTTTGTCATAATAAAAATTAGCCATTTTTCATGTTTAATGGTGCTACTCTTTTGTTTTCCAAGTTTTTCTGGGTTTGGAATGATATCCATTATGTGATGCACAAGCACAAGAGCTGCAGTTCTACAGCAGAGATGAGCGTGTGAGGGGAAGAGTTAACACAAGAGCTGACTGACCCAGAAGCTTTGTTTTGCCTATATACTTCAAATCAGAATTCATATGTGGCTGTAAATAGGCTTGTATTCAAGGAATGAGCTAGCAGAGGAAGCTTACAATCATGTGACTCCTGTGGTCTAACCAAACATTGCAGATACAATCAGGCTACTCTTTCCTGGTCTATGGAAGGTAGATTTCCTTCATTCTCACCCCTCTGAATTTCACTCTTATGGCCCAATATTTATCACAATGGGGAATTTCTCCTCGAGCTCAAATATATGAACACTTAGCTCTTTATTCTGAAAACGTCCTGAATTCACAAGCCTCACCATTAATTGAAATTTCTTCATAGGGGAAAAAAGTTAAGGTGCTGGATAATATTAGCATTTTGTTATAGGTTATTTTCCAATGCGAGCAGTTTTGTACCTGATAATCTTTGTTAATTTTATGCTGCACAATTAACATATTCCGTGTCTTTTCAAGTTCTTGCACTGTTTCTGCATGTCTTGTTTGAAGCTCTCTCATGGTGTGTTCCAAATCTTTATGGATGTCATCTTCTACTTTCTCTAAAAAGGTAAGGTCCCCATTCTTCTGCTGTTTGCGAACCTTCAACAAAAATAATATTTATTATACCACTGAAGTACAATGTGGTGTTTTCTTGCATTGTTTAATTTACTGTGAACAAGACATTATGACTCAGGATATTCAGTCTTATTCTGACAACAAAATAAATATTATAGAACCAATCCTGCAAATTTCCAAGTGCCCCCTGCCAGATCATGAGAGAAGAGATAGTTCAGCACCTCTTAGGACTGTGAACTACTCTATATTTTCACTGTCTATCTGGAAACAACTACATCACACAAGATACTTAGAAGAAATAAAATCTCTATTCAACTAAACTTAATACCATTTCTACAGAATTACTTTAGGTATCTTTAAATGAAAATGACTTGGCAGCAAGAAATGAATGATGATATGTTTTTTCTAAAAGTATGTAAATATCTGGGTAATCATATATATAGTAGCCCAGTGTCGGTAACGCTGACGTACACGGCCACACCCCCTGGCCGTGTACGTCAGTGCCCCTCCCCCTTTCCCCTTTGGCACTCTGCGCCGCTCAGCTGGGCCCCTGCGGGGGAGCAAGCGGAAGCAGGCGGCTGTTTGGGGTCCGCACTCCCCATCCTGGACTGGACATACAAAGCCCATTAAAACTCATGGATGCTCGGCACCTCTGAAAATCAAGAGAACTTTCATAAGTGTATACTTTCTTTGTAGTAAAAGAAATCCAATGGATGTCCATGGATGTCATGATTTTATGATAAGAATAATCTCTATATAATCTCCTAACGTCTTAAACTCTTATATTACCTCAGCCACTAACACTAGGATTTTCAGTACTGGTGGGATACTAATGCATTTTCTATACCATTTTTGTAAAAAAAATTTTTAAAAAAAGTGAACCTTTTTGTTTGGGGATCTTTTGATTTAAAAAATGGTATGTCTTTAAAAGTCCAGGATGGATAACATACAATATAAAAAACGTGAATCTTTTAAAAGAAAAAGCATCAATAAAAAGTATTCTCCTGAACACAGGAAACAATCTTTTCCATCCATTTCTTCTCTTTCACTTGATTGTGATCTTGTTGTAAACAACAGACTTACAAACTATGTGCAAGAGAAAATGCATTTTTCTAGTTTTTATAAATAAGCAGGAAAAGGTGTTCAGGCCTGGACAGTATCTTTTTATCATGCTTTTAGAGTTTATCATTTTAGAGTATACTTCCACTGCCTTCAACATTAGTAAGCAAAAAGTTATTTTTGATCATCACTGTAATAGGGTAAAGTGATAAATAAAAAAAGAGCAACTCTTTTCACAAAGAAAAAAGGTAAAGTTTTAAAAGCAAGTGTTTGCCGATCTGGTCTAATCCACTTTTGATGTTACAATGAAATATGTACATAACCTACATAAATTTCATGCTGCCATCTTTTCCCCTCTCCTTTCTTGAACATATGTACAAGTACGAATAAGAAGCATTAGCTATTAAAATCTTCATTTCTGAATGAAGATTAAGGCAGTGTAGAGCTGTGTTTCTCAACCTTTTTTTATAAAGTACCCCTTTTTCAAAAAAAAAAAAAAATTATAAGTATCCCCTTTTAAAAAAAAAATTGTAAGTACCCCCAGCACCTACAGTTTTCAGACACACAATTTTTTTCCCTACTATTGCAACACATCTGTTTAAACAATTTAATCATAGCTGGGTGGGTGATGAAATTTTTGGGTGTAAAAAGTACAAAAATAATAAAGACTAACAAGATGGTAAATTGTATCCTTTGGTATATATGGTTGTGACTATTTTCTTCCACTATTTGATCTGAGGAAGTGGGTCTGGCCCATGAAAGCTCATCATCTAATAAACCATCTTGTTAGTCTTTAAAGTGCTACATAGTCCTGTATTTTGTTTCAGCTACACCAGACTAACATGGCTACATCTCTATCACAAAAATAATAAAGCACTGTAAAACTTAAAATTGAAAGTTGGACAAAACTTAATTTCTGTTGCGTTGATGTACCTCCCAGACTTCTCTCGAGTACCCCTAAGGGTACTCGTACCACTGTCTGAGAAACACTAGTGTAGAGAATATACAAAAGTCAGAGTCAAAAAGTAGCGCGGGACAGATCAAAACACAATCAAAAGGTAAATTTTACCTTTACAAGCATGAGGGCTTCACTGAGTTCTGCCATTTCAATATCACTCTCCTGAAACAGAAATAGTCAATAAAAGGGTGTTATCAGATGTGAATGAATAATAGAGAGATACATTCAGAATAACATGGTGCCGTCTCACTAAACATGACACTTTGCCTGATATCATGAATAAATAAAATCCATCATACTTCTGCATTCTTTTGGTTTTGCTTTTAAGAGTTCTTGCACTATGCATAAAACATAAAAAGCTTTTTATGGTCATTTTCTAAATAGAAAAAAAATTACCTTAGTGAAAAACTTCATGCGATTGTTTAGTTCATCTAGCTGTTGCTTGTGTTCTAGATAACGCAACTGCAGCTCTTTGTTCTCTTGGGTTAGCTTCTCATTTTGGTCTTATTAAAACAAAAAACAGCCAACATACTTCATTTAATCCAATCTAATTGAAAGAGTTGTGATACTAATTTTCAAATCTACATCTATATAATAAATGCATTTTTAAATATTTTCCACTATTCCCTATAAGTACTAAGTCATATTGTCTTAGCTACTCTTCAGAAGGGAGGTTGAACATTGGTTTTCTTGACCTGGTATTGGGAATTCATATAAGGAGGGTAGTACTTCCTGCCACTGAAGCTCAACTCAATGCATTTAAAAAAAATCTATATTTAAAAAAAGCAACTTGAAATATAGGGAAACTTTGAGCACCATCACACTTAGTATTTTCAACCATTTTTGAGTAATAACTTGAGTCAACCATTAACTCATCTACCATGGGGTTTATGCACCAATGGCAGTGGCAGGAAGGCATACAGTGAGTGGGTGGGCTCCCTAATGGAAGTATGAATGCATTTGCAAACCTGCCTGGGCTGTAGTTCTAAAGGAGCAGAATACCGAGTCCTTCCTGTTGGTCCTGGTGACAAACAGGTCGATCTAGGGAAATCCCCATTTCAGGAAAATCATGCTCAGGATATCTGGGTGGATTAACCATTTGTTTGTGAAGAAGTGCTTGCTCAGTTTATCTGCCAGCTCAGGTATAACAAACAGTTCAGCTCCTACTGTATAGAAGCCTGGACCAGGGAACCCCTTTCTGGTGAGATGAGATAGAGAATCTTTTCAATTTTGATGAATGAGTTATTAGTAGAATGCTTATTATTTAAAATGATGTTTTAAAAATCTCTCTTTCTGAGCTCTTAACCATAGAGCATTCAGGTTGTAAGTAAAGAACCTCTAGGCTGGGATGGAGAAGACAACTGTAGACATATGAGATCAGGTCTTGATTTAATAGTAGAGTCAATAGAGCCATGGCACAGAGACTCTGCAGAGTACAAAGCCAATGTTGGTGAGGTCATGCCAACGCTATAAGCATCACTCAAGCATGGTCCTGCTTGATTTTTTTAACATTCTAGGAAGGAGAGAGTTGAAGGATACACATACATGAAGATGTCTTTCCAGTGCATCAGGGAACTGACCACCAGAAGCCCTAGACTATGTGCAGATAAATTCTCTGTACCATGAAATCTTGAAAACTTGACTTGAGGTCTTCAGTAGCTCAGCCAAATATTAGGGGTGTATTACAGGAGTGAGATTGCTCTGGCTGCAGAATCAGAAGCATCCAGTGCTGCTTGCAAAGAGGTCCTGGCCACCCTCCTCCATGAGTCTTGTGGAAGCTTCTCCTTAAACTTGTCCATTACATATTAAAATCATAGCAAACTAGCACTGAAACCCCTCTCACCATAGAACAGGGTTTTTGGGGACCTTTGTCTTTGGTGTTGGTCTTGTCTGGATTTAACAGTCCCTCTCAGTGACCACCATCATAATGAGGTACGTTGGAGGATGAAAAATAAATATTTGCAGCCTTTGGCTGGTATGAAGAACTTTTTTTCTACACTTAGCCATAGGGAGGATGAAAGCTGGATTTTGTCACAGAGATGGTTTGGGCTGCATAATAGTTTCAAGGAGGGAAAGGGCTATTCTTGATGGACAAACTGTGACTAGGATGTCCAGGATGCCCTCAGAAGACTCCTCCATTTCCTCTGCTTTAGAAACTAAATTGGATGCCATCTGCTTTATTAAGTCCTGGTAGGCCTTAAAGTCACTGTGGCTTGGAGACACCTCCTTCACTATCAGTGCCTTATGATGAAGAGGTGGTGTGTGGTACCAGAATAATCTCTGCCCTGCCCTCTCCAGGAGAGGCCTGCTCCTGTTGCTTAGTGTAGGGTTTGTACTGGGCACTTCCCCATGGTAAGTACTGAAGATGGGTTCTGGGGTTTTATGGTGTGATGCCCATTGTGGAAGCAGGAAAGGGAAAAAGGAGATTTGCATTCAACCATCTTAGGCCTGTTAAAAGTGGAGCAAAAAGACAGGCTAACCCTAACCTAACCACGCGATAGTTGTAAGGGATGCGGTCTCTGCCTAGACACGGTCTCTGCCTTGCTTTAGAAGATAAGGATGGAATGCTGATTTAAGCAGGAACCTTGAGAAAGGTAGCATCTAGAAACAAAGAAATAACTGTTAGCCGTTGATTCATGTAACAGGAAAATATATATATTTGCCTTTTAACTGCTTGTATTTTGAAGATTTGCCTAAGGAAGGGAGACTCCCTGTCTGACTGAAATCTTCCCTTGCAATTGCTCGAATAAACTGCCTCTGACTTGTTACTTACAAACTCAGAATGAGGACTTGTTTTCTTCCACACCATGTACTAGACTCCCAGAGGCATTTGTGCTTTGAGCTGGAGCCGTGTCCATTGGAGATTCGCATAGGCCCCAGAATGGCCACTGCAACTGTGTTAGTCCCCATGGTCCAATTGTCCAAGTCCCCTGAGTGTTCCAGCTGCAAAAGACTGATGTAGCGAATGGTGTGGATGATCCTGAAAACCTGAATGGTGGAAAATGACAGACTCCATCTCTGATTCCAAAGAGGAAAGGGAGAAGGAATGCAGAGATCATGGAAGTGTCGAGCCATCCAGTTTCAGCGAGCAGTGCCATGGAGAGGCCATAGGAGAGGCACCCAAAGGGGGCTTTCCTCTTGAGATTGGTCTCAATGCCATTGTGACAATAATAGAGATGCCCCCATCATCCTACGGTGCTGGGGGTGCCGAGTCCTGGTCCCTTGGTGACAACAGTACCCAGGTCTCAACATATGCTTCTGAGATGGACAGCATTGTGAAGCATTCAGAGTGCTGCCTGGGGGAAGATGGTGGCACATCCTTAGATGGGGTATGCAGTGCTGGCACAACTGCTGATAGTATCTACTAAGTTCATGCCAGAAAGGGAGAGTGGTCTGATAAGTGTCTTGCAGGATCTCATGCCTTTTTGTCCATTTCCTCTTGGTGCGAGGAATTGCTCTTTTCTTGCCCTCTGTCGAGGAGGAAGAGAGACGAGGGCCTGTATCACTGTGTGCTATACCCTAACACAGATGTGCTTGATGCAGAGTCCGATCTCAGCTCTGAAGCCAGTCACAATGAAACCTTCATCATGAGGATTTTCAGTCTTGTTGTTTTGTCTTTTTTGCTTACAGAGCATGAAGCAGATTTGGCAGCGATCCTTCCAGTATGCCTCTCGAAAGCACGTGAGACAACTAAAGTATGGGTTGCTTGTTCACATCAGCTTGCCACAAGCAGATCGAAGCTTGAACTGCAAGGTCTCCAGAATGGAGATGTGCCCCCAAACTACATTAAGACTACTAAAAGTAATAACTAATTCCAATACCTATAACTATTAACTATATACAAAAAACAAGCTATGAAAAGTACTAGAGAATCTTTCCGAAGCAAGGAGAGAAGTTCCAATTGTTGTTGTGAATGATAAGAAGGGACTGGGGAATTCAGGCTTGGCAGGGCCCCTTATGCCAGTACCATGAGTGTGCAACACCAGAAGCCATGAGAGCTAGCCCAAAGGATACCATGAGGGGGAAAATTTCTAGCAACTATGCATGAATTGTACACACACATGCAATGGAATGGACATGGACAAGCACTCAAAAATGAACAGATCAGTACAAACAGATGTGAGAGTGGCAGGAAACAATACCTAGGGACTTGGTCTTCATATTTGCTTGAGAAATGCCATTCATGTCTATTGCATTGTACAAATAATCAAAAGTAGCAAAACATATAAAGTTGTAGGTGAACCTTAATGGCAAGAATGCTTACTCATAGGTGGTATGGCTAACTGAATATGATCCTAAAGTGAAACAGATTATTCTAGCACCCGCATAATGAAAAGCATGACAATTTATATAATTTACATAATAACCAGTTGCCCAAATGGCAAATTTTAATTTATTCTAAGTAATTAAAAAAATAGTCAGTGTTTATATTCTCTGAGCACAACTATAGTTCAAATGCAGCATGGCATAAAGTTATTTAAAATGGATATAGCTTCCCCATTCAGCACATATTGAAGCACGTGCCTAACTTTGTATGTGATTAAAAGTTAGTCATGTGTTTTAGTATTTTGATCAATTAAGATCTTGAAGCATGTCCCATAATAGGAACTGAACTTTTCTATAATATACATAACTGAACTAGAATCAGAAATGCAGAAGAATCTTGCACATGCAACACACTGAAAAAAAGACTGATATTTTATAAATATACCTCTTTCTACTTTCATTCTGTCAAGGATTTCATTTTTGTCTGCTAAGTCAGACTTTAAGGCAGTTTCAAGTTGAGCAATTTGTAATTTCAGTTGCTGTTCCTTTAACTTCCATTGCTGTTCATGGCTCACACTGAAGGCACTGCAATAAAACATATGGCATGTGAAGAACTTTTAAAAATCAACTTCAAGAAAACAAGAAAGAAAAAAGCTTTTAGTGCACAGAGACTACTGTCATCATGTTTTAGGAATTAAGTAAACATATGCTGGTCTGCTGCTGTTAAAACCAAGGCGCCTTTCTCAGCCTGTGGTTACAAAACATGAAAGACTTTGTGGGATGAGCAAAGGAACTGGCCTTAATTTAGAACTCCAAAATCAAAAAAGTTGGCAGTGTACAGCATTTGTGGGACTGGAAAAGGAATTCAGATGCATATTCCAGGGGAATCCACAAAGCCAAACCTCAGCAATAGACAGCTAACAAAACCATTCTTTCCAAATACAAAACTTCTCAATGTAGAGATGTGTGATTACCTACCTGATCTCTTAACATCTCTGTGAAGCACAGAGATCCTAAAACCCTGTTGCGTGTTCAAAGAAATATTGATTATCAAGTGACAACAGCTCTCATGATCTTGATACTGATTAAGAGGCACTTACACAAAGTAGTGATCCTACTTAAAAAAAAAAAAAGTTTAAGGGATGAGAATAACTATGCCCTAATAGGTCTGTAAGTCTCCAAGGTGCCACAGGATTCCTTTTTTTCCCCCCAGATACAGACTAACACCAGTTATTCCTCTGAATATTTTTGTCTTTACACAGTATTTGGTTCTAAACCAAAAACTTGTATGCAATAGGGATAGCAGGGACACAGAATCAGAATTTCTGAAACCATCACAAAAGTAATGATTCAGTTTGAAGCAAAAGTAAACATACGAAATGATTCACAATTAAGCTAGACTATATAATGTATTTTTGTGTAGTTTACAAAGTTAATGCTACTTTGTGCTGTTCAGATCATTATTTAAAAATGCACTCAGTGGCTAACAAATATTCTCCTGGATTTCAGCCAATCATATACCTGCTTATTCACTAAAGTGTAAACTGCAAAAAATATTCTGCATTTTTGTGAAAAATCTGAAACTGTACATTAATTTAAATAATGCATGAGTCAGCTCCTTAAGAACCCAATCTGAAGAAGCTGATTCCAACTGGAATACACACTTTTTTCATGGTTATCTGCAAGAAAACCCACAAAGAATCCCCCCCCCCCAACTCTCTCAGCTCCACAGACTTTCTACACCTAAATATAAATGGAAATTAGCTGTCTCAATAGATTGGCTGTGACAGAGTAAAAGTGAATTTACATCTAATGAATTAGGATTTGCATAAGGAATTGAATTATTGTAACATGAAATCATAACCCTACCTTTTTAGCTGACTAAAATAACTCCAAGACACTAGAGAAAATCTCATGTTTTCACTGAATGCAACAAATGAAAAGTTAAATGTTCACCATTTGTTCAATTTCAATGCTTGCTATTAACATCTTCTATAAAGAAAAGAATTTGAGAGGCAGTGTAGCCTAGTAATTCAGTGTTTCGCAACAGCCCTTGGATCAGCACTAGTCCACAGCAGCCTCTTTTCAGGTCCCTGAGATTTTCACATTTAGGAGAGCAGCAAGCCAGTTCCTGGTACCAAAAAGGTTGAGAAACACTGGGCTAGTGGACACTCAGAAGCCTGAGTTCTATTTTGGTTTTGACGCTAATGTGCTTTGTGATGCTGAACAAATTACTTCTACCTGTCCCTGCCTGTGATTCTGTTCCTAGTCTGTGTGGCCTATTCAGATAGGAAACACTTCGGAATAGGGACTGTCTGATTCTGTGTTTGCAGACTTTCACAATGGAGTACTGATTTTGGTTTGGAACTAAGTGCTGTGGAATACGAATAAGTAATAATGTGTATTTCTCCCTCCATTACTAGTGTTTTGGAGACATTTCCTTCAATTCCTGCTACCAGCAATTTGGGGATACATATAGACTTAAATTATTCAAGTTTTGACTGTATGACTAATGTGAAGAAGGGATTACTTTGACAAATTATAACTGATTAAATCTTAACCAAAAGCAGTTGTATGTCCTTAATCTTAAATCATTCTTTAAAAAGAAAAAAGGAGAAATTTTAAATTCTCATGAGTATGCTGCTATCTACATTTACAATTATATACATTATCGCAATGGATTGTTAACTGCTACATAACACAACACATGTACATATTATTTCGTTTATCAAAAATGCTATGCTACAGTGCCCTTCATACAGTAAAAAGATCATTAGAAGTTCTGCCAGTAATATCAGATTTGGATTATTTAAATTAAGAAGTTTACAAACCAGTTGTCACGGGGCAGGCGCTCACCCCTCATGGTGCCTCCTGCTGGTTGTTTTGGGAATTAGCTCTTCAGTCCTGGAACATCCCCTTTCAGCTGATATCATGCCTGCCCGTACCATCCCAAGGTAAGTGCCCCTGCACTCTAGAGTTCTCCTCTTCCAGGGAATCCCCAATCCCCTATACTCACCTTGCCTCAGTGACCTACTGCCAACCATCATCTAAACCTTACCTCAGGGACAAACTGCAGTCTGAAATGGCCACTCATCACTGGCAAGAGGTTGTGAACTTGTTGCCTTTTCCTATCACTGGCTGTTTCCCTGCAGCCCTAGTAAACACACACAGGCCTTGCCTCAGGCCCTGCCATCTGGTAGTGAGGTCAGGCCAGAGCTCCCCAGCTCTGCCTGTCTCTTCCCAGCACTGCTCTGTCTCAGGAAGCCCCCCCAGCTTTCCTGACAGCCAGGTCTCTCCTGTAGGGTTGCCAGATGATTTAACCACAAATACCAAACACCCCCCCACCCCAAAAGGGGAAAAATTCTGTTTGGAGGAGGGGGAGGAGGAGGGAGAGACCAAAGTTGCTGAGGAAAGAAAAAAAAAAAGAAAAAAAAAAGGACTCCGACAGTTATTAAGCATTAAACAAAACAAAAAACAAAACAAAACAAAACAGCATGGCCCCTTTAAGTGCATGCAGAGTCAGAATAGGGATAGGAAGGGGGAGAGGTTGAGCATTAAGACCCAGGGAAGTCATTGCTTCCCCTTCCTTCAGGTCTGTAGGCTTTTTGCCAGTGGCCATGTTGATCGAGCCAGAAAGCACCTTCCCTGTGGAACCAGGTAAGTGGGGGGGCTGAGGCCCAGGGGCTGGGTCCTGTTGCCAAGTGTGTCGTAGGGTTGCCAGGTGTCCGGTATTTCCAGCTCCTGGCAGGGAAAAAAACCAGAAAATACCGGACATTTCAGGTGTCCAGTATTTTCTGATTTTTTTTTTAAACCAGACAGGAGGCAAAAATACCTGACTGTCTGGGTCAATACCGGACACCTGGCAACCCTACCCTCCTGCTCCCTAGATAGAGCAAGAGTTTGTCTTCCTCCTTCCCTCCAGGAGCCCTTATTTATTCAGCCCCAGCTGGGCCCTAATTGTCTGTGTCTGTCTCAGCCATGGGTTCCACTCTCTCAACCCTCTCCCAGGGCTGGGTTTTGTCCTTAAAGGGCCAGACACTCCGTCACACCAGTCCTTTCCAATGTTAATGTGCA